TATATAAAATACATTTGAACACAGTGAAAGTTTATATAATACATAAGAATACAAGTAGTGACGCTATATAAAATACATTTGAACACAGTGAAATGGTATGTAATACATATGAATATAGTACATTTATATATAATAAATATGAATAAAGATAGTGAAGTTATATATAATACAGACGAACACAGCGAGTAGAATGATATATAATACATGTGAACAAATAAATATAGTACATATGAATATAAATAGAGATATGATATGTAATACATATGAATATAGATAGTGAAGTTATATAAATACATTTGAACACATTTTAGTCAGAGTATATATAATACATATGAAACAGGTAGTGACGTTATATAAAATTCATTTGAACACAGTGAAATGATATGTAATACATATGAAAACAGATAATGAAAGTAGATATAACACAGAGGAATACAGTGAAATTATATATAATACATACAGCGCTGAGCGAACTATTGGCGCTTTATAAATACTGTATAATAATATAATAATAATATGAATATAGATAGATGTTGAATCTAGATATCAAACATGAATAGTCCTTTTATAGAGAATAGCTGCGATTAGATCTCAGCTATTCTCTGGTCATTCACAGTTTATAACACTTAGGACATCCTGTCACTGGAGATTCTCCAGCCCAGAGCTGGAGAATGAAAATAAGCAGAGATAATTTATTAGTAAACTGGTCTTTTACTATAGAGATTATGTAAAATGAGCCGTTTTTCAGAGTTTGTAGACCGATGTAATAAATGTAAGCTTCATAAATGCAGAGAACTTTGTTCTCCGAGAATGCCGGAGAATGAGCAGAGATCTATTACCACTGGTTCACAAACGGACACCATAGATAGATATATATTATTAAAACACATAACATAGATATTGAATATTAGAGATAAATAGATATTGAAATTAGATATAATAATGTAAGTATGCAGATTTGAGAGATTACACAATGTGAACATAGACACTGATATCAGATAGAATACATATGAATGTAGATATAGATACTGATGTATATGTTTGACAGATAGATGCTGAATATGTATAATACACAAGAATGCTTATATGGAGATACTGAAGATGATACAACATGAACATAAATACGATAGATAGATAGATAGATAGATAGATAGATAGATAGATAGATAGATAGATATATTAGATAGATTTAGAGAGTATTTGTTACCAATAGCTATGACTTTTGGCCAATTTGACAAACAACATTATTATTTTAGCTTTCTGAAGTTTGCTATGATAAATATTGGGTAGAAACGTGAGTTTTATTTATCTGCTGATCCTTAGACTTTTCATTACATCTCCATAAATGACAAAAGAATTGCACTACGCATTGCTATATGAAGGTGCTATCATTAGGCGATGCATGCTTGCCATCACAATGCACCCAGTTGTGCAGTTAGTTATTGTAGTGGGACAGTTATTAAACCACGTGACCAGGCCAGTCTACCATCCGTGTGCCCCCCTGCAGCCTGCTCATCGCCTCCCTTTGCTAATACAATCACAATCGGGCCTGATATGTATCATACAAAGGGCTGTAAGCAGCTTTCCTTCAGCCACCAGGGTGTCTCATTTTAATTTAATTATCTCAGAGTGTGCTAATGTCCTGTCATCATCACTTAACGAGCACTGCTGATTGCCTTTATTACAGCAGGATGTGTTTTCAGATAAGACCCCATCACATGGAGGAAGAAGGGGGCAGCAGACATGAACCCCCACATCCAATTATCCATTTCCCAGTCTGTGCCATTCTATCATATTCTGTTATAAATATGACCTCTGCCATCTACTACAGAGTTAACTGACAACAATTCGAATAAATGTATTTTCTTATTTCCTTGATCTTTTCCTTTTATTTATCTACAAAATGAAAACCAAAAGCTTTTATCTTCTACCTATAAAGATCTTTAGCACTGCAAGTGGTTTATAGGCCTTTCTAATCTGAGGTATAGAACTGCAAGTAACAGCAAAACTGTTATTGTGAGTGTAATGCTGCTTCCAGGCCATGGCAGAACATTACATATCTGTCATTTATATGGCTTTTCATGTTTCTCATTTATATGGCTTTGCTGTACAGTTACTGTGTGTGACCAGATTTTAGTATTGATGGCTGCAAATAACAGGAAGGTAGAAATAATGCATTTATATATATATATATATATATATATATATATATATATATATATATAACAATTTGCTATTAAATGACGACCAGTGGATATAGTACCTGATCATATTAGACTTCTACCCATTACATAGTACCTGATCATATTAGACTTCTACCCATTGGACTGAGACAGCTATCCTCCTTTTTGTAAACCCAATACAAATTTAAAAAAGAAGCTCAATAAATCATACTCCTTTTATAGAAGAAACGTGCATTAATTACTGAAGACTGAAATCCAATTTGCAAGACTTTTTAGGGAGAATATTCATCAATATTTTAACCCAAGATTCAACCAACTTTCATCCAAGATTCACCCAACTTTCTCCCAAGGTTTATACATTTTTAAATAAAGTAATTGTGATAAAATGTCATTGTAGGAGATGAGTATAAAACCTAACCTAAATTATATCACCATTCAGGTACACATACCGTTATGACACAACTTACATTTCTACTAAATACAGAGCTTAACATACTTTCAGAACCAGCTCATTTTTTAGGAAGTCAGGCTTTGTCATATGTAACATGCTCATTAAAACAATTAAATAATAGTATTATGGTAATGATGAATATGATGATGATAATAATATAATCATAGTAATACTACTGCTGCTACTACTACTGGTGCTACCACTAATAATAAAATAATAATGATAATATAATCATACTACTACTACTAATATAATCATGGTAATACTACTACTGCTACTACTACTGCTATTACTAATAATAATAATATAATCATACTACTACTACTAATATAATAATGATAATACTACTACTGCTACTACTACTGCTATTACTAATAATAATATAATCATACTACTACTAATATAATCATGGTAATACTACTACTGCTACTACTACTGCTATTACTAATAATACTAATGATATAATCATACTACTACTACTAATATAATAATGGTAATGCTACTACTACTACTACTGCTATTACTAATAATAATAATAATAATAATAATATAATCATACTACTACTAATATATTCATGGTAATACTACTACTGCTTACTACTACTACTACTGCTGCTACCACTAATAATGAAATAATAATAATATAATCATACTACTACTACTACTATAATCATAGTAATGCTACAACTTATAATAATAGCAATAACAACAACAATAATAATGCTGCTGCTGATGATAACAATAATAATAATAATCATCATAGTAAATACTACTAATTATTATTATTATTAGTAGTACTAACAGTAGTAACATTACTAATATATTATTATTAGTAGTAGTAGTCTTAATAGTATGTTTATACTAATATTATTATTGTTTATTATTGTTACTTATTAATATTATTAGTAATAGTAGTAGCAGTAGTAGTAGTATTCCTATGATAATTATTATGTTCTTATTATTAGTAGTAGTAGTCTTAATACTATGTTTATACTAATATTATTATTGTTTATTATTGGTACTTATTATTATTATTAGTAATAGTAGTAGCAGTAGTAGTGCTATGATGACATTAGTAGTAGTATTACTATGCTTGTATTAGTATTGCAATTGTTTATTATTGGTGCTTATTATTATTAGTAATAGTAGTAACACTAGCAGTAGTATTCCTATGATAATTATTATGTTGTTATTATTTTTATTAGCAGTAGTAATAGTAGTAGTATCAGCGGCACTAGCAGTAGTATTACTATGATTATATTATTATTAGTAGTAGTATTACTTTGCTTTATATTAGAATTATTATTGTTTGTTATTATTGTTGTTACCATGTTTTAGCAGTAGTATTTACTATGACTAATGATCTTAGTTCAGTTGCAGTAGTATTAGTATTAGTATGAATGAATATTACTATGACATATATCTTTTATTTATGTTGTTGTTGTCTATGTTAATGTTCAGTTACTGGTGATAAGCGGTTTTCCACCCAGAATACACAACCCTGGCCAGGACTCCAGTGTCCCCCCTCCTTGATGATGAGTACATTCAGCAGACATGTCCGTTTGTGAACCAGAGGTAATAGATAGGCTGCTCACTTTCTCCGGCATTCTGTTCTCCTGTGAATGCAGTTTATGAAGCAGTTCTCCGAACGAAGGGAGAACGGTTTCCAAACGCTGGATAACGGTCTACAAACTGTCTCGAAAAACGGCTCATTTTACTATAATCTCTCCAGATTATAGTAAAAGACCATGTTTACTAAGCAGAGGTAAATTACTCTCTGCTTAGTTTTCGGTCCCGCTGATTCTCCAGCTCTAGGCTGGAGAATCTGGACGGAGAACACAGATCTCCAGAGAAGGGCTGACAGGATCTCCTGAGTGTTAGTTTTTCGATCCCGTTTATAAACTGTGAATGACCAGAGAATAGCTGAGATCCGTTGAATCGCAGCTATTCTCTGGTTCACAAACGGACATATACTCACAGCAGTCAGCCAGCCTGCCTCCAGATCAGCATACAGATTGCTCTCAGCCTCTGATTGGCTTCCCTGTGGCCGTCGCTTAGAGCAGAGACAAGGCTGGACTGGGCGTGGTTATCGACCTGAGCCAATCAGGCTGAGAAATAGCCAGGGCAGGAAGTGCAGAGAGAGAGAGAGCACGAGGGCGCCACCCCCTGCCAATAGAAAGCCATGGAGATTTGATGTGGGGCTGGGTAGATGACAGTGAGCGGACAGTGCCTGGTGGGGCCATTTATACCCAGGCTGGGCGGAGGAGCGGGCACATCTCTGGGTGGATTACAGATCACTGTGGACAGGACTAGGAGAGGGGGAGCAGAGAGGAGCCATGCAGTACCATCACTCCAGCTCCTCTGCCATGGGGCTCAGTGTGCCCCTGTATGCCCCCACCCCCCTGCAGCCAGTGCACCCCACACCCTTCTACATCGACGACATCCTTGGGAGGAATGCAGCTTCTAATGGGACATCAGCCATGACAGCACCCACCCTGCCCTCTCCTAATTCATCCTTCACCAGCCTGGTGGCCACTTACAGGACCCCCATCTACGAACCTACCCCCATCCACCCAGCCTTCTCCCACCCTGCAGCCCTGGCAGCGTCCTACGGCAGCAGCACCTTCCAGAGCCCCCTCTACCCCTTCCCGAGACCCATGGGGGAGTATGCCCATGCCCTCATCAGACACGACACTCTGGGTAAGTTCGGGATGGGAATGGGCTGTCTATGGTCTGTCTGTTTGTGTATGTGGGGGGTCCAAGGTTAGATCGCATGGGGTGGCCATAAATGCTTCCATAAATGATCCACTTATTTTCCAGTCAATCTCTCCTGAAAAGAATAATCGATCATCTATATTCCAATCCATCGATATGCCACACTTGGGGAAGCAGATTTCAATCCTTCCAAGTCCTTAGGTGATCAATTGAATCTGTTTCTACCATGCAATCTCATATTCCCATCGATCATATTAGTGCTGCCTATCAGGGAAGTTATGCTCACTAGACAATTGGATCTTTTTGACTGAATCGCAGATCGATCGGATACAAAATCCAAAGTGTGTACCAAGTGGCCACCATTAAGCTGACTATACACTATATCATCTGATTGCACAATTTCCTTTATATCTTCCATCAGCTATGTAGTGCAAAACAAACCCTGCCTGATTGGATACAATTGAATTTGTTGTTTAGAGTCGTTCAGAGATTATTCAATCAGATAGATAGTGTATGGCCATCAGAGTGTACTGTATGTCTGCAATGTTTCTTGTAACTAGATTCCACTATACAGCTATAGATCATTTGGAGGAATTGAAATCTGCCTCTGTGGCTGTTTTGATTTGTACTCGGATCTGAACTCACAGTAACCACAAAGAGCTTCTTCATTACTCAGGAACACAGGCAGGTTTATTTCTTACCCACCGAGCCGATGTAATCTTCACTTTGAAGATGACAAACAAATCAAAACAAAAAAAATGTAACAACCCAAATCTGATACATTAAAAGTAGGTCACGTACTCTGTGTGCACCCTGCTGTGACAGCATCCGATACGATGGATCTGCTCTGCGATCAGTGTGCATTGCATATGTATTACTGCTGGGCTCATAGATGGCAGATCGTATAGGTGGCTATACTTTACACAGTACAGTAGATATTAGAGAGGATTTGATGACTCGATGAATTAGTAGAAAATGTTCACTTAGCTTACTAATCAAAGGAGAGCTGGGTGCACTTTGGCTACCCAATCGTGTGCAGGGAATTAAAACATGGACTAGCCCTGCACAAGATCGGATGATTGAAGCCCCATTCACTAAGCTAAGAGCATTTTCTGTTTGTTTGTTTTTATTTGTTTTTTTGGGTCATACTCAGCGCTCCCATGGCCTCTGAGATCCTGAAATAGACACTGATTTTGCATTTTGTTGTACAGGGAACATTCATATGTAGTCGGTTGTGTCTTTCTTTTTCTTGTCTTTTTCTTTCTTTCCTTTCTTTCTTTCTTTCTTTCTTTCTTCCCCCCCCCCCTCTCTCTCTCTCTCTCTCTCTCTCTCTCTCTCTGGTATACAGACAGATACATTATCCATAAGTTATCGAGAATAAATATGATATCTGTCTAACCTATAATATCTATCTAGTGGGAGAAGAAATAGCTATTATATCCATATTATCTATCTATCTATCTATCTATCTATCTATCTATCTATCTCTATCTATCTATCTATCTATCTCTCTATTTCTCTATCTCTCTGTCTCTCTATCTATTGCAAAGTAACTTGTGACTCTGATTTTGCTTTTTAAATGTTGTTTAAATTGAACATTCATATGTAGATCTTTCTTTTTTTTTTTTCTTTCTTTCTTTCTTTCTTTCTTTCTTTCTTTCTTTCTTTCTTTCTTTCTTTCTTTCTTTTTTATATAGACAGAGAAATTATCTATAGAATATCTATGACATCTGTCTATATGACCCATAGTACCTATCTATCTAGAAGGAGAAATATAGCTATTATATCTACATTATCTATGTATAGCAAAGTAAGTAAGTTGTACAACATGTAAATTTGTTTTATAATATCTGACTTTCTCTTTCTCTCTATATATAAAAGTATTTACAGACAAAGAGAAATTGTCTATTATATATATATTTATTTATTTTAACATCAAAAATCACCCAGTGGGGTGGATAGGGTATGTTCTGTAAAGTCAATGTTGGTAGACAGGGTGATCCTGTGTTTAGTCCATCATGTTGCCAGCACAAATCCTGCTTGGGAAGGATCGCTGACATATGATCAGGTATCCACCATGCACACAGGATCACTTTATTTACCAGCCTTGACTTTACAAAATGAAGATCCTCTTCTGCTCCTTTGGTATGTCATTCTCCTTCCTCTGCTGTGGAGAGTGTATCTCCATGTCAGTGACAGGCTGTCTTCTAGAACACATGACGGCTTTCCAGGACCAGTGCTCAGAGGTGCCCCTAGCTTGTCCCTGGCAGATGGAGGCTCGTGACGTGTCAGTGACAGGCCAGGTTTTCAGGGATGTTGTGTGTGTGAATGGCTGGGCTGTGCTGCTCAGTAGTCGGGCCTGGCGGCTCGGGGGGTGCCGGCTGAGCCCTTTCCGTCCATACAGGAAACCTTGAGCCCTCGATAGGAGTAAATCTGGCCTCAGAAGCTGTTAAGTGTTTTCCTGGCTGCCTCTTCCTCGGAATTCGTGCACACTGTTGATTATTTTATCGACATCCTCAATACAGACAAATTCAGGAAACACTCGGCTTCTGATAGCCAGGATCCGTTTTTTGTGATATTGTTCATTTCCTCTGTGTGGGATGAGACTCTGCAGTGGCTGAAATAACCAGTTGCTTCCTATTTTTCTAAGGGCTGTTTTTTTTTACACACAAAAGCTCCAAGTGACGCAAGCAGAGCCCTTCACCAGATGGCCAGGCCAGGCCTAGTCTGCTGGAACTGCCAAGGCACTGCACTGCAGTAACCCATAGCAACCAAACCAGCAGCACCTCTTCTACACGTGGCAGTATGCCAACATACGGGCACACACAGCAGATCGATGATAGAGTTGCCCCCGGCAAACATCTAGAATCCTCCTTTAATTTCTAGACTTGAACTGCAGAATATTGTTTGCAATGCAGACTCCTGCTTTAAAACTTTTAGACCAGAACAGGCTCTAGCAAGTATCAGAACCCCTTATTGTCAAACATGTTCTGCAGAATAAAAAAAAACAAAAAAAAACATGATCTGCAGAATAAAAAAAATTAAAAAAGACCCATGATCTGCAGAATAAAAAAAAACTAAAAAAAAAAAACTTAATCTGCAGAATAGAAAAAAAAACATGATCTGCAGAATAAAATAAAAACAAAAACATGATCTGCAGAATAAAATAAAAAAACAAAAACATGATCTGAGGGATAGAAAAAAAAAACATGATCTGCAGAATAAAATAAAAACAAAAACATGATCTGAGGAATAGAAAAAAAACACGATCTGCAGAATAAAATAAAAACAAAAACATGATCTGCAGAATAGAAAAAAACAAAACATGATCTGCAGAATAGAAAAAAAAACACGATCTGCAGAATAAAATAAAAACAAAAAACAAGATCTGCAGAATCAAAATTAACTAAAAAAAAACCCCCATAATCTGCAGAATAAAAAAAGACTAAAAAAAACCCCAAAAAACGTGATCTGCAGAATAGAAAAAAAGATGATCTGCAGAATAAAATAAAATAAAAACAAAAACATGATCTGCACAATAACAAAACACTCCATGATCTGCAGAATATTTCTTGTTGGCTCTAACAAACATCCAGAATTTTTAGGATTGAAGGGCAGAATATTTGTTTTCTCCCCTAGGGACAATCCAGGGTCCATTTTTCATTATTTTCAGATGAGGATTGGAAGACAGTGGGTTGATGGAGACATAGATCTCAGTTCACAAAGCTTTAACACAAGGTTGTATTGTAGCCATGTGAAGAGTTTTTCCTACAGCAGTCTTTCCTCTCTCAGAACACACTCACACCTCTGGATTCTGAGCAAGATGGGTTATTGCTGTGCAAGTTTTGCTGTTCTTGCTAATGATTCCATTCATCTATTTATGTAGGTAAAACACATAGCAGCCACCTCCAAACGTGGGGGTCTGCCCAAAAGTTTTTTGTCAAGATGGTAAAACTATTTAACTTATCCTTTTCATCCTTTTCATGTATTTTTTTTATAAAAAATATATCTAAACTGCTTATGCATGTATTTACTTTGATTGAGGCAGCACAGTGGCTAAATGGTTAGCACTTCCACCTGGCAGTACTAGGGTCTTTGGTTCGAATCCCAACCACGGCACCACCTGCCTGGAGTTTGTATGTTCTCCCTGTGCCTGCTTGGGTTTCCTCCAGATACTCTGGTTTCCTCCTACACTCCAAAGACATGCTGATAGGTGAATAATTTGATCCTGTCTAATTGGCCCTAGTATGTGTGTATGAATGTAAGTTAGGGACCTTAGATTGTACACCCCTTGAGGGTTAGGGACTGATGTGAATGTACAATATATATGTAAAGCACTGCGTAAATTGACGGCGTTATATAAGTACCTATAGTAATGATAATAAAATAAATAATTATGCATGTACACCTTAGAAGTGGATCTACTAAAGGAGTAGGGAATATTCACTTTGGAAAACCAATGATTCTTTCACTTCGTAAATAGGGCGAAGCTATATTTACTTTGAAAACCCAATCATTGTAAGGCCAAATCTGAGAAATAGATATTTACTTGCACCTGATTGAATAATTGAAGTGAACACAGCCTTACAGTTTTCATTTTGCAAAGTGAACGTTTTTAAATTATATTCTCTATTGCATTAGTAAATCACTTATTATTATTATTATTATACAGTATTTATATAGCGCCAACGGTTTGCTCAGCGCTGATATATATAAAGTAATGTTTGCAATGACTATACATTACATTGCATTCTTGCATGCATTCATTTATCTAATTTCTTAATTGGTAAACATAGAATAGTTTCACATTGAATAGAAGGGCTGCAAATATTCCTAAATCTGTAAACAGATGCAGTACCTGCACAGAAGATGAGACGTGTGCAACTGTGAATTATTGTCTTGTTAACTGCCATTCCAATCTAAGAGAGGCTTACAAATGACAGTTGACAACACTCTGTCCAGTAACTGATCAGGAAGTCATCTGTGTTTTGGAAATCGTTACTCCCCACTGTAGTAGTTTCTGATTCAGGTCTGAAAAGCTTTTGAAAGTGTCGTATAGTCACACATGAAGGTTATATAGCAGTAGAATACAAACCTTAAAATCTTAGGGACTCTACAGACAGAAATGATTTGCAGGTTTAATATCTTATTTATATCTATAACATTTCTTCTATTACATGTTGACAATGATGGTATTTGAGTTATATTTTATGATAATGAAGACAACACTGCTGGTAGATCGCAGGGAAACTGACTGGTCCTTGTCTGCCATGGTTCCCCCAAGTACCTGATTGTATGCTATCCTTTTATATAAAGAAATGCAGTCTAAACGTTGGCAATCGATGACTTTTCTGGCCAGGCTAGGTTTTTTCCATTCTTAACAAGCCTGCTGGACAGTAGGGCACGCAGGCTTGTAAAACTGTATGAGAGTCTGATAGAGATCAGGAAATACTGTCACTGAAGTCAGATCATCCCCTCCCTCGTCACAATCTGACAGGCCAGGCGGTGGAACTACAAGTACCAGCATGTTTTGTCAAGTCTAAGAGGCCCCAAGCCCAATTATGCCTGCATGGCACCTTTGCTGTCTGTGGTGGTATAATTATAGTTTCCCACGAGCTAACGGATGTGTGGATTGCTGAGAAATGTAGTTCATCTGAGTGAGATGAGATGCAACCCATCAAATAAAATAAACGAGAACTTGTATATAAAAACCTGGTTTAGGTAACTTTGGGGGTTAATTACTAAAAATGGAGAGTGCAAAATCTGGTGCAACTCTGCGTAGAAACCAATCAGCTTTCAGATTTTATTGAATAAGCTGACGTTAGAAGCTGATTGGCTACCGTGCACAGCTGCGCCAGATTCTGAGTGCATCAGTTTTAGTAAATCCCCGTTTGCTTGTTTTTTTTTTATACAGAATTTACAGATAAATATGTAAAAGGCTAACAGGAGATATTAAAAATGATATTTTGGGGAAGAGGAGGGGGTGACTGGTAGTTCTCCCCCAAACATCCATCAGAAAAGATCTACTAAATGCCGAAAAAATCAAAGAAGAATATCACACAAATATCAGAGAGCTGTTTCCATGGGGGGGGGGGGGGGGGGGGGGGTAGGAACTTTTGGAATTATTAGGAATGTCAGTCTACAATAAACATTCCTTCTGTACTTGCGAATGGTGTTAGTTTGCCCTTAAAATAATGTATATTTAACTTGAGAAATATAACTTAATTATTTAACTTAGTTAATGTATTAATTAACTTAATACAGTACTGTATATTCAAATGATTTTTAATAATCCACTAAATTTAAAAGATGTACTGAACCTAAAGAACTTCCATCGGAGGATGATGAAAACATAAATTTTATACTGTATAAAAAAAATTCTATATATATATATATATATATATATTTTTATTACAGTCTAATTCACTTGAGAAAAAAACATTTAATGGATTAATATGTAATTCACGGAAGAAAAAAAATACAAAAAAAAAAATTATATATATATATATATATATATATATATATATATATATATATATATATATATATATATATATATATATTTTGTATTTTGTTTCTCCAGTGAATTACATATTAATCCACTAATTAATCCATTATTTTTTTTTCTCCAGTGAATTACATACACGCACGGTGACATAAGATAACGTTGTAGCCTCTGTAGCAATGAGCCCCATTAACATATTTCCAGATTTATGTACAAACTTGTAGTAATTAAGAGGCTGCCTTTGTTGGACCGATGTACTAGCACTGTACTGTGCACACAGCCACCTATGCACATTGATATACCATACATTTCTGATTTGTCGGCTACGATTTTCCCTATTTCCCCGGTAATTAAAATCAATCCAAAGTTATTAGTACGTGATGTTACCATCACCTAATTATCTACCTCAATATAAAACCACACATTACTACAAAAGTTCTGATGTGTGTGTATATACTCTTTCTATGTGTGCCCATATTTTCTAAGGAATTTGTTTTTTCTATATATGATGGATACAATATCAATCTCAGTATCAATTATTCTTTTTAACTAGTGTAAAGGGTGTTTTTTTTTTTGTTCTCCAAACTTTCTGATGGCAAAAAAACCCCTAAACCTAATGTTGCCAGCTTCAAAGACTCCTAAGATGATTGATTCAAAACGAACGACTCTGAAAATGAATGTTACAAAATGTATCATTATCAGTGATCTCAGTTGAGGTTTTGTTGAAAGGCTGACTTACATTTTTACTGCCAGTAATAAATGCACCCTGTTAACTTATGTTACAGTATTATGTGTAGACAGGAATGTACCTGAACTTGCTGCACTGCTGTCACATGTAGGTAAGATGCCTGATGTTCTAATATTGTTTGCAGGTAAACCTCTTCTGTGGAGCCCCTTCATTCAGAGACCCCTGCACAAGAGAAAAGGTGGTCAGGTCAGGTTTTCAAATGACCAAACCATTGAGCTGGAGAAAAAATTTGAGTCTCAGAAATACTTGTCACCACCAGAGAGGAAGAGGTTGGCAAAGATGCTGCAGCTCAGTGAAAGACAGGTAAAGGGGAAAGCAGAGGCTGAAATCCAATATGAGAAAGTTATGATTGCAGTACAGCCCCCATACCCTTCACCCTTCTGCCCCAAGATAATATTAATATGTATAATGCTTGCAGATCATTTGCCCATTTATGTATAGCCAACCTATTTTTCAGGTTTGGGTAGATAAGAGAGAGACTAGCAACTCTGTCAGGTTTTTTTAATGCTGTTTTTTCCTCTAGGTAGTTCCACCCTCTCTCTTTGTCCTGGTGCCCATTGCCATTGAGTGATGGAAAATCCAAAATGTTACAGTTCTCATTAGAACAAGAAGCGAAGGGAAATCTTCCAATGTGGCAATGGTATATGTGCCAACTGTAAGAGGAAAATTCCAGCAAAAAAAAAAAATAAAAAAAAAAAAATATATATAATTCATATATACTTTAAGCACAAGCATTGTATATGTATGTTGTTATAAGCCATAAAGCCATCCATTTACCATTGTAAGATATTTGGGACTTGTTCTAGGGGAGAAAGAAAAAAATGATAAAATGGTAGATGAATTGTCTTAATGGCCCATTTAGATCTATGCATGTGTGTAGAGATGTGGTTTGTCATGCATCAACATGTATTTTTTTTGTGTGTGCCCATATGCACCTTAATGCACGTTGACGCACATTTTCATAGCATTTTTGAATTTACAATTTGTAGTAGATAGGGTAACAACCACTGACCAAGACATGTTAATACCTGTTGCCAATGCATTGAACCACATGTTATATGCCATTGTAGGCACTGCCATGGACTTCTATGGGCCTCCCACTGCACTAAAATGCAAGAAAAAATAGACGTCCTATTTTTCAAATCACACTGCACTGCAGTGCTAGGATGGGGACAGACACTATTTTTATTATGGGGAAGTTCCACAAGTATTTTCATGTGTTGAAACGTATGCCTTGAAACTCAACAGTGTAAATGAGCTCTAAGTAGTTACATTGCTAGTTATTTTTTATTGTTATTATATTTACTGTTAATATTGCTGCTCTTAGCAGTATAAATTCATATACACAGAATATATATATTGTGTATATATACACTATATTGCCAAAAGTATTGGTTGGCCTGCCTTTACACGCACATGAACTTTAATGGCATCCCAGTTTTAGTCTGTAGGGTTCAATATTAAGTTGGCCCACCCTTTGCAGCTATAGCAGCTTCAACTCTTCTGGGAAGGCTGTCCACGAGATTTAGGAGTGTGTCTATGGGAATTTTTTACCATTCTTCCAGAAGAGCATTTGTTAGGTCAGGCATTGATGTTGGACAAGAAGGCCTGGATGGCAGTCTCTACTCTAATTCTTCTCAAAGTTATTCTTTTGGGGTGAGATCAGGACTCTGTCCAGCCCAGTCAAGTTTCTCCACATCAAACTCGCTCATCCATGTCTTTATGGACCTTGCTTTGTGCACTGGTGCGCAATCATGTTGGAACAGGAAGGGGCCATCCCCAAATTGTTCCCACAAAGTTAGGAGCATGAAATTTTCCAAAATATCTTGGTGTGTTGATGCCTTAAGAGTTCCCTTCACTGGAACTAAGGCCCAACAAGCCCAACCCCTGCAAAACAACCCCACACCATAATCCCCCCTCCACCAAACTTTACACTTGGCACAATGCCGTCAAGAAAGTACCGTTCTCCAGGCAACCCTTAAACCCAGACAAATCCATCAGATTGCTAGACAGAGAAGCGTGATTCGTCACTCCAGAGAACACATCTCCACTGCTCTTGAGTCCAGTGGTGGTGTGCTTTACTCGCTGCATCCAATGCCTTGCATTGCACTTGGTGATGTAAGGCTTGCATTGCAGCTGCTCAATCATGGAAACCCATTCCATGAAGCTCTCTACGCACTGTTGTTGTGGTAACTGAAGGCCACACGAAGTTTGGAGGTCTTTAGCTATTGACTCTGCAGACAGTTGTCGACTTCTGCGCACTATGCGCTGATCCTGCTGTCATTTTAAGTGGCCTACTACTTTGTGGCTGAGTTGCTGTTGTTCCCAGTTGCTTCCACTTTGTTATAATACCACTAACAGTTGACTGTGGAATATTTAGTAACAAGTAAATTTCACAGATGGACTAATTGCACAGGTATCAACCTATCACGGTACCACGCTTGAATTCACTGAGCTCCTGAGAGTGACCCATTCTTTCATAAATGTTTGTAGAAGTCTGCATGCCTAGGTGCTTGATTTTATACACCTGTGGCCATGGAGGTGATTGGAACACCTGAATCCAATAATTTACATTTTAGAATCTAATGTTTCAAATGTAAAATTACAGTTGGAAGTTCATAAAAACTTTCGCTATAGGTGTCCGTTTATGAACCAGCGGTAATAGATCGCTGCTCAGTTCTCCGGCATTCTTGGAGAACACAGTTCTCCTGTGAATGCCTTTTATGAAGCAGTTCTCCGAACGAAGGGAGAACGGTCTACAAGCGCTGGAGAACGGTCTCCAAATGCTGGAAAACGGCTGATTTTACTATAATCTCGCGAGATTACAGTAAAAGATCAGTTTACTAAGCAGAGGTAAATTATCGCTGCTTAGTTTGCGGTCCCTCCGATTCTCCAGCTCTGGGCTGGAGAATCTGGAGGGAGAACACAGATCTCCAGTGAAGGGCTGAACATGTTCTCCGCTGATCTCCTGAGTGTCAAACTGTGAATGACCAGTGAATAGCTGCAATCCTCTGAATCGCAGCTATTCTCTGTGTCGTAAACGGAGACCATTATCTGCTAACTTGTATGCAAAACACAAACAAGGTAGGAGAAGGACAAGTTGATTAGTGAGATCTTTTCAAAAATTGACCAAAAATTATACAAGTTCAACCATATCTAAAAACCTAGAACTAATACAGTCTAGCCAATGCAATTTTCTTAATCAACACCCCAAATAATCCCAAGAACAGGTCTAAAAAGCAAAGCACCAAGAAAAAAATTTTTTTTTTATTGGGCTGTGTTATTAGTTGCACTAATACATGGTAATTAAAGAGTTATAATTAATGATTAGGCAATTAAGATGTTACTTACACATTTCCTCTTCTGATCATATCACTACCCTGAACCAGTTCATTGTGGTTGGTTTACTAAAACAGTAAAGGCTGTTCACAAAGCAAAGAGAATGTTCACTTTCAAAGTGTATATTCACTTTGTTTATTAAATAAACTGGGTTCACTTGAATGTCCAATCATGAGCAAGGGAAAAATAACTTGCATTTGATTGGATGATTCTTCACTGTTTATTCACTTTGTTTAGTAAATAAACTGGGGTTCACTTGGAATGTCCAATCATGAGCAAGGAAAATTAAAAACAAAAACAAAAAAAAATTGTTGCTTGCATGTGATTGGATGATTCTTCACTGTTTTCAGTAAATTAAATGAACATTGTCTTTGCAACTTGTAGAAACACTATGCAAAGTGAACAGTTATTATTTCTTTAGTAAATTAACCTCCTTGCTGTGTTACACAATTATCGTGCTCTTTACACCTTGCTTTGTTGATTTGCCTCATGGGGTTGATTTACTAAAGGAGTTGAGTCTGTTATGTTTGCAAATTAAAATTCGTTAACCTTAGCAAATAGGTTGAAGTTGTTTTTACTTTAACTATCAAATCGTGTGCATGCAAAATTATAATTTTTTGTTTTTCAAATTTCCCTTGTATACCAAGTGAACACAGCATCACCTTTTTCAGTAAGCTATGTGAAGAGTGTGTAGTCCTTTAGTAAATCAACCCCAATGACTCAGTTGCTTCCTAGCACACAGGAGGGGCTGGGTTCTGAAGCATGAATCTGTTTCATTAAAATGCATATTGCTCCATTTTTGTGCTGATTGCAATCTCCTTTCCCTCTGCAGGTGAAGACCTGGTTCCAGAACCGTAGAGCCAAATGGAGGCGGCTTAAACAGGTACATCAAATACATTGGTTTCTATGTTGGTTACAATCGACTTATCATTTAATGTGATCAGCCATTCCTGGTTGTATGCCCAAGTCATTTGGGTGGCTATGTAAACTCTTCAACTTGATTAGAAAAGCAAACATTGCTGTAAGTGAATCAGAGACCTACTCAGGCAGAAATAATGCTAAAAGCTTCTAAACAGGAGCAGATAGATGGCTTGGGCTACTATCTTCCCATAGTGGTTATATAACTGCCACTAATTGTGTCAAGCCATATGTTGCTCATCTTATTATCCTGCATCTAATGTAATTCGATTAATGACCTGCCTGCCTCAAACCTGTGTTTTCAAAATCTACTGCAGACCCCCATGTAACCTTGTACTATTCACACCTATGTAGTTAAGTAGGTGGTAGACTTAACAAATTCACAGTCAGATGCTGTGTATGTTTATTGATAGTCTAGACCAGTCTTACTCAATCTTCTTACCCCAGAGGAACCCTGTCATATACCTGGTGGAGATTGAGCTGGAGAGGGGGCTTCTATTGCACCTCTTGTCCAACACCCCTGGTAGTGATGGCAGGAGGTGTGAGGACACAGAGTGGCACAAGGGCTAGTGTAACAGGCAGTGCCAGCTGGTGTTTGCAGGAAGCAGATGAACGTAGATCACCAGGCAAGAACCAGGAACTGGAACATGGTGACACTTGACTGGCAGACAGCAGCGTAGCCAGGACACAACCCAAGTCATGAACAGCCAGGCAGTGAGGTGCAGGAACATCAGGCAGAGGACAGAGTCAAGGCTGAAGATAACCAGGAACTAGCTGAAGACCACTCAGCAAACCATTCATGACTTAGTCCAGCTTAAATAGCCTGTTTGGCGCCAGTGCCAGCCACACATATGTTTGCACGTGCTAATATGTTTGTGCGTGTGTGCTAATGCCTGTTTTGCACTGAGCCTTTTCTCAGAATTATGAGCATGCACATCAACATGAGCATGTGACAGTCTTCTGGTTCCAACATGTACTGAGCTTCTCTTAAAAATCCTAAAATAACTTTCAGGTTTCAGGGAACCCCTGCTAAAACAAGTTCATTGGGGGTAATTGGAAAGATTGGCTCTTACACTGGTGGTCCAAATGCCATCTTTACAGATGGTTAAATAGATCACTGATGTCATTCTGCTGGCTCTGCCAAGTGGCATTGAGCTCCCAGAATTACGAAGGCACTCTCAAATGGGAGATAAATCGGTCACAACTCAAGAAACCCTTATTAATCACTGGAGGAGGCTTAGGCTTCCATTGAACCCTGGTTAAGATGACTGGTCTAGACCAAAGCAAAGTACTCTGTTGCACTCCAGGTGGTATAGAACTACAAGTGGCAGCATAACCTGACAGTTTACTTGCAGTCGAAAGTTGTACTCTTGTCTGTAACGACAGGCTTACTGGGTCCACTGTACTCCATAAATTTTAGGTACTATGTTGAACATTCACAGCCATTTAATATACTGTGTGTAAAGGTGCCAACACCTAAATTGAGATTGAGATACTTTTGTGGACAGCCTATTGCTATTGTCAGCTACATTTATCAAATCGGTACTGTCTGCCACACAACAACTAACCAGATTAAGCCTTTCTTCAGTTATTTCCAGTATCTGTACAGTGACAACAAATTATATACATGGGGTGAGTTGATGCAAAATTAGATGTCCATAATTAGGTCCATAGTCCCACAGGGGGGTGAAAGGTAAAAAGGGTCATGATTGAGGGGGGGGGGAGAGGGAGAGGAGGACAAGGGCCAGTTGGTGAATCCTGTAGAAAGACCACGGAGGACCACAAAATGGTTAGTACTTCAAGGCAGCCTCCAAAGTAGAGCAGAAGCAGATTTCCAATGTCACATGTAAAAAAGGAATGAAAGAAGGCACCACTGAGTGCAGACCATAAATATTTTAATTGTAAACAAGGGTGTAAATGAACACTCACATTTTAAAAGATAGATTAAGGCACATCTGTAGTCCAATGCAATGGTATCCGGGAGCAGTTACCATGTTCTGCAGGTGATTGGCATCCAGTTCCTAGGTCCAGAGACTGGCTGTCAGAAGTTGGGACCAGAAAACTGCTGTGTACTGCAGTGGAACTCAGGTGGAGCGCAGCATATGGCGTATCCGCATCAAAGGAAGTGATGCAACGATGTTTCGGAGCATGTGCACTGACCAGAGGGCACACTTCTATATCAAGAGCTTGATAAAGGAGTGTGCCCTCTGGTCAGTGCACATGCTCTGAAATGTCGTTGCATCACTTCCAGTGACGCGGTTACGCCGTACGCGGTGCTCCATCTGAGTTTCACTGCAGTACACAGCAGTTTTCTGGTTCCATCTTCTGACAGCCAGTCTCTGGACCTAGGAACTGGACGCCAATCACCTGCAGCACATGCTAACTGCTCCCAGATACCATTGCATTGGACTACAGATGTGCCTTAATCTATCTTTTAAAATGTGAGTGTTCATTTACACCATTGTTTACAATTAAAATATTAACGGTCTGCACTCAGTGGTGCCTTCTTTCATTCCTTTTTTGACAGCAAATTATGTTGCATCTTTAAGAGTACATAGAGGCATTGACATCAGTCTCTGCCCTGACAATCTAATGGCCTACCACACTCTCTAGGGCCAATTGTGGAAGAAAGTAAATTAATATGCCAGTATGTTTTGCATTGTGTCAGGAAACCCACAGAAACACAGGAGGGATAAACAAACTCTATGCAGACAGTGTTCTAGGTGAGACTGAAACAAAGTATTTAGAGCTGCAACTCATTTAATTCCTATGCTTATTTTCATAATGTCATTTTTAGGCTCTGGTTTGGCTTGAGGTATGATTCATTGCTTTTTGGCATTACAAACCATTCTTATTAAATACCTGAATTCATAAGCCCGTTTTGTAAACGGCTAGGGAAGTCAAACGCAGGTAACAAAGTGACATTTGGTATTTTTCTTCTGTGGGATTATGACACAGGAAGTCAGTTGTGTTAAAATATCCACCCATCTTGATAATGCCACCAGTTTTGTTAAGCTCTGTAACTTTTAAATATTCACCCTTGAAAGTAATGAAAAGTCTTGTTTTATATAATTCAATTACCAATCATAGGCTCTTTCACCTGGTTTGAGTGCCCTGACATGCTAAGGTACCACCTATTCTCCCAGCTACATAGAGGTTGCTTTAAAAAGGCTAATACCATTTATTGTGAAACGACTTCCCAGTCTGCCATCTTTTCTTGAATTGTATTTGTTCATACTCTCAGCCCTGCAGGGATGAGCAGTCACTTGTGGCACTTGAAGAATTGTCAATAATAACCAATTAATCTCTTCTTAATGAAATACATAGACATTAGATGGTTTTTACCCACCCTGTTAGGCCCTTTTTGTCTACAGTTACCCTGAAAATTTAGCATACATCCTTCTGATCAATTTTAAGAGGCATTTTTCATTAGGATAGAAGGCCAGCAAGCTGAAATGTGAAGGTGCTTGAAGATCTGGCCATTTCTATTTTTCTCAGGCTACAATATAATATCTGTTAAGTACCAGGTTCCAGCAGATGTCGCCAAACAAGACTCATCTGAGGAATAAAAACTGGTCAAGTTATTGTTTACCCCAAAGGTACCTGCAGAATGACCTTCCCCATTATCGGCTTCAAGAGAGATTTGGGGTGTGATGGCCTGCAAAGATACCTAAAGGTCAATCCAATTGTGCCTACAAGTCCAACTGCTGGCTGACTAGGGTGATTTAGGAAGCCAAGAGAGTCTCTTTTTCTTTATATGATGAACATGGTCTTTAAATCATTGGCCTGATAAGTAAAACATAGGTCACAACTTCCTTCCAACCCAATCGTGAACTTAAGGCTTGGTTCACACTGCTGCAATCTAATTTTGATGCAGCTTTCAGTGCATTTATGTAGTGCAACTTGGATGCTACTGTGAAGTATTTTGCATATTCTATGGGGCCAAAATTATGCTGGAATTGCACCAAAGTAGTACAGAACCCTTTTCCAAAAATGTGCTGTGCTGAGTTGCATTGATGTAAACGGGCACCACTGAAACCAATTTGATTTTCATTGTCATGCGATTCTGTGTGACCAAAGTTGCACTTGTGTGAACATAGCCTATACTAAAGTTATACTTTTGTAGCTCCGTTCAATACAAGCCATAATAGTAACATAAGAAGTCTGAAATGTTGTGTATCCTCACAGAGTCCAGTTTGTTGGAAATACTCACGCTGAAGCATTACTAGGATTAGAAATAATTATTAGTTTAGTTTACATTTGTTAGAATTTCAAGACTGAGCAAATTCAGGAATAAATATTTTTTTCAGACATGTCTCACATGAGGATGTAGTCATTATGGTTATGTGGTTATATTGTTTTCTGAAGTTACTACCTGAGGTTACAAAACATCATTTTCCACTTGTAAACTAGGCTTTTTGAGGTTTCTGAGAGTCTGGTCAAACTGTAACTGGAATGAAAGCCCCTTGTAGATGGTTCCAACTATAGACTGGTGTAAACCAAACTGTATTTCCTGTGACTATACAATACTTTCAAGTATGTGTGTAACTCTAAGATCTTAATAATATTACACTGTTCTGGGTTAACTATTTTTTATATCAGGTTTGATGAAAGGGAACAGGGAATCTGGTGCAGCTGTGAATAGTAACCAATCAGCTTCCAGGTTTTATTTTCAAAGCTTAATTAAACAAGCTGAAGTTAGAAACTGATTGGTTACCATGCCCAGCTGCACCAGATTCTGTGTGCTCCAGTTTTAGTAAATCCCCCCCTTAAGCCCCGTACACACGATGAGAATATCGGACGAACGATCGCCCGTTTTTTTTTTTTTTTCGCCTGCTAGTCTAACATCAAAAGTGAAAAGGTTACTAAAGATATGAAAATTCTCCTATGAAAGAAAAGAATTTTCTAAAGTGATGTCATGTATTGTATTGTATTTGTATTGTATTTTCAGACGACTACTGTACTGATTAAACGAAAATCGTACGATCTGGTATCGTACCAGAAATATTTTTGCGCTTGTCCCTTCGGATATTTTAGCACGAATTGTCGTGATTGGCTCTCGAAAGCTGTGTACTAACGATCTGATTTTCGGATGATTTTCTTATAGTGTGTACGGGGCATAAGTGCACTTCCCCATTACAGAGGAATGATGTCTGTTCGTCATAGTCTGAAAATACTGAATCATACATTGGGAAAGAAATATGCTAAGTATTGTACAAGTAAATACAAAAGGCAATACTTTCATTAGCAGAAATGGCAGTGTATTCATCCAACTCTCAGAAAATAGAGGGCGCCTGCTTAGCATCCCTACACCTATTGTGCACTTACAGTAAGGGAAGGTGGGGTCTTATTATTGACCCTTACACAGGTGTACGCTTATGTATGCCCATGTATACAAGGCCTAACACTAACGTACACACACACATGCATAAAAATATACGTGTGCCCATACATACATACTGTACACATACACACGTACGTACATACACACAAGTACACTCATACATACACACTCGCAAACATGCATACATAAACACACACATACACACACTCTCATATTCATACATACATAGCCTTTTGAAAAACTACAGCTTACTGTACCTGGCTGACCAATACATGGCACCTGCACCACCGAGTAAGATTCCTGTGTACACAGTATTGCATGGAAGGAAGGTGGGGTAGGTTAGGACTCCGGAAGCAGCTTTGCCCATTACTGCCTGCTCCACCTCTTCAATTCAGTGTTCAAAGACAGTTAGCTGTCAAAGCTGTGCTAGAATACTATAAAAAATAGTGGCTGCCCTCCCCTGCCCGGCCACACTTTTCAAGACTAGGAGCACTGCTGTGCTTCTCCTCCCTGCTGACAGGAGTAGTGAATGATGCTGCTGTCACATCTTCTCCTGACAGCCTACCATGGCAGAGCCTAATGCAACATTATCACAGGGCTCCCATTCACCTGGGGCCCCTGGGAAATGTCCAGAGGGTCCCATATTACCCTGACAAGGATACAGCCATTGCCCACTTGCTAGGGGGTGAGGATGTCACAAGTTGTCAAGTTGTAAATGTTAAAGATTCTGCCAAATGGCATGCAGAAATCTTTTGAGGGCCAGGTTTGCTCTTTGGCATAAGCCTGGTAAACCCATTGTAGGTTAAAACAGCAGCAACCAGAATGAAAAAATGAATGAGAAGTATAAAGACATTCGGTACAAACTAGGTGTTTGATTTACTAAAGGAGTATAGTATGTCCCTTAGCAAAGTGAATATTCACTTAGCTTATTGAATGGAGTTATACTAAGTAAAAATTCACTTTGCCAAAAATACCCAATTTTATGCTTGGAGAGTTGAACAAAAACAGGATTTTTCTTGCACATGATAGGACGACTGAAGTAAATACAACTTAACCTCTTTACTAAGTTAATTGAATTTTTGGGAGGTCTCTGTTGGCATCATGAGTTCTGAAATTGTCTAATAAATTGATTACTACTTTAATGTCTTCCTATCATTGGAATACTATGCTGCCCTCTTCTGCTTATTAAATGAACATGATAGAAATATCATATGGGAAAGGCCATGGCCACCATTTTTTAAAGGTGCATGTTCAAGGACCGTTGTAGTGATCTTGGTTATATCAGCTGTCAATAGAAGCCTTATAATAATATTTGAAGCCTTAGAAACATTTATCTTCTGCTAGCAGAGGGTTAGATCTGCTTTAAGAAATCAAAAGCAAAGAATCCTAAAGCAATTAAAACAGATAACTGATGTTATTTTTTTCCTGCTGTCTGTTACTCTTAAAACAGAGTTCCAGCTTAAAAATAAATAAATTAAAGTCAGCAGCTACAAAAACTGTAGCTGCTGACTCTTAAAATACAGACACTTACCTGTCGCTCGGTCCCGTGGTGTCCTCACCATGGCTGGTTTAACTGGCTGTCTTCTCTACCTGGTGCCGGCATCTTCAGTGTGGGCACCTGGCTGTGACAGCTTGTGGCTTCACAGCCGGGTGCCCACTGCGCATGCACGAGAAGCTCTACATTTTGTGAATGGCCCCGTAGTCTTCAAGGACCTGTCATGTGTCCCAGAAGACTACGAGGAGGGAGTGAGGACAACTTCTCTTTCCGATTGCCTTAGGCGATTGCAGCGGAAGTGGAGCAGGTACCTGTCAAATTCGGGTACCCGCTTCCCAAAGGTGCCAATCCTTAATGGGGAGCAGGGAACAAAGACTTAAAGCAGAACATCCCCTTTTGGGTGGAGCCCTGCTTTAATAGAAATCACTGTACTAATAAAGTTTTCTGCTGACTTAAAGGGTTAGTTCACATCAGGGGTGGACTGACCATTCAAGCACTCGGGCACTGCCCGAGGGCCCGGGCTCAGTAGGGGGCCCCATGAGATGCCCCTGGTACCAATAATTGGCTTTTTCATAGGCTTTTTTGGGTGTGGTCATAGGACACAGGGGCCCCATGATCCCCTATTGCCCGGGAGCCCCATGAGTTGTCAGTCCAACCCTGGTTCACATTTATAAAAAAAAATAAAAAAAAAAAAAAAAAAAAAAAACCCAAGAAAACCTACCTATGCTGATTAGGGGCACCTGTAGATAAAAACAAACTGTGCAGTTTTGACTAAAATTGGATAATGTCCTTGCTAAAGGTGTAGGCCATTTATGCACCTCCAAAAAGCCTGGCTGAATAACTCTCAGAGATGACATCATCTGCCTAGTTGGTAGGACATTGCTAAGACACTTTTAGCCACTACTTATCCCCACAATTATCACAGAAATGAACAACGAAACTCCTGCACATGTGTGGTCCACTATCTCCTCTGTCACAGAATGGGTGAGCTCAAAGTTACTTTGACAAGTGAGAGAAAGTGCACACAAGGGGGTTTGAGCAGACGGAGTGTTTTAACAATGTCCTAGCACAAGGAAGGATGGGATGATACCAAATCTGGGAGTTTTCTGGCCTGACTTCGGGAGGTACATAAATGGCCTACACCTATAGCAAAGGCACTATTGGTCAAAGTTTGTTTTTAATCTACAGGCACTCTTTTTTTTTTTTTTTTTTGCATTTTTGTGAAGGATAGGCATGATTGGCTTCTGAGAATGTTTTCACCCTGGTGCTGGCAATTAAATTTTTAAATAAAATATTTGATGGTTTTCAAATAACAGTGCAATCAACCATGATAGTTGTAAATAAGCTACACCCTTATGATAATGAACAAGGCCCAACGTGAAAACAATGTACTGCTAGTTTTGAAACTTAGTATCATAACACGGATTGTAGTTTGAGGCTGCAGTTCATTAAAATGCTAACTGAAATTTCTATTTTAGGAGAACCCCCAGGGAAATAAGAAAGAAGAAACCGAAAGTCTAGAAAATGACTGCGAGGAGGGTCAAGAGAACTGTTTGAGTATTGAGCAGAAAAATAAGGACTCTTCTTTAGATGGTTCCCAATGCTCTCCCTCCCCTAATTCCCAGGAGAACCTGGACACAGATATATCAGATGATTCTGATGAAGAAGTTGACATTGAAGGAGACAAAAGCTATTACAAGTGTACCCATTGATACTTATCTCTCCAAGGACCTTTAAACTCAGCTTGCACTTTAACAGGAGCTGGATTCTTCACCGCCTAATTTTTCCATGGGGTAAGGACATGGGTAGCGTTTGATGTACAATGCCTTAGCTGCAATGTAACTAGTGAAGGTAAGGGTCAAATGTCTATGTCAAACTGTGCATTAAACTAAGGGGTTTATTTGTTATACAGGGCATATTTTATTCATACACAAGTGCCTATACATTTTGCTAAAAGTACTTGATTTGATAAACGTTGCCACTGGATTTGATAAACTTTGCCAAAGTTTTAAATTTAGACTTAATAGACTGCTATCACCCGCCGAATGTCGGCTGCAGTTGATGCATATGATATGTTGCACCAAACAATAATTAGGCATGTTAAGTTTACCACAACTGTAATAAGTAAGTAATAATGTAAGGTTAACCCATCAGTGATTAATGTATATGTGAACTGATACCGGACATGTTTGATACACACATTTTGTATTGAATAATGATTCAATTCATACTAGAAATTGCTTTTCACAAATCATATTTTCATGATTTGGGCTTATGAACTAGAAAAAAAAATCTCTAGGTTTGACTTCGTTTCAGCTAAAAACCAAAGCAAAATAGCTATTTTCCAAAGCAGAACAAGTAACCACAGGTTTTGAGTTACCATGGAACAACAAGTTTTTGTGTTTCATGTGACATACTACTGTGCTTTCAGTTTGGACTTGGTTCACATATAAATTAATGCACACTGCAGTGAAATGCATTAATGTGCCTTTTGGATGCATTGCAATGCATTTTTTAAATATTTCATTTAGGTTGATTTGAACTGCAAAATGCAGGTAAGGTAGCAAAAATAAAGTATACTGGGCTTTTTTTTATTCCAGTGCATTACAATGCAGTGCATTGGTAGGACATTGGGACTGGGCCCATTGAAGACAAAATAATTTCTCTTGTCTGTCCATTCTGGCAAATGCGACAAATTCTTGACAGTATATCCTACACAGACAGATCCTTAGTGGATCCAGCTCTCTGAGTGTCCGAATATTTTCCAGAACTAGGTGCTTTATGGTAAATGTAACAGGACATTGTTAATTTAATAGAAAGGGTTCCATTTCAGTAAAAATGTCCTGCTCCAGATCCCCATCTTTTAATGTCAGTCTGTGTGATACTTGCCACTAAACCGTATAATGGCCTTAACGTGTGAACTCAAGGAGTTTGACAAATATGAATTACACATTTTATTGCTTACCAGTCATAATGTAAATTATTGCATATTTATATATGTATTTTTCATATGGTAGGCATTCATAATTTGGCTATTACTTAAGTCTGCATAATTTGGTGTTGGGATGAGAATCTGTTTTTAGTAGCACTTTGGGCTGATTTTTTACATATTTTTACATCAGAAACATGATAGACCTGACTTATTAAGGGTGGGATCATTGGAAGTAACAAAATTAAAAAAAAACAGAACTTCTTCACATGATTGTATTCTCATTGTGAACAGATGCTGTTTATTTTATTTTGCCAACTTTTATACTTTTGAAATTCCACTTTCAAAAATTGGGCACCATTTGTGTTTTTTTCAAACGCCAAATCATGCACAGGAGAACTAAAGTAACTACATTTTCTTATGCATGATTTAAGTAGAGGAGAGGGTGGGGAGTCTTAATGTTACCTTGTGGAAAGGTGTACACTCTTGGGGAGAGGTTGAGTATTCATTTAACCAGTTGGCAGAGCTAACACAAAATTGTAAAATATTTTGGTAAAACCACACAAAAACTGGAAATCAAAGCTGTTTACTGTAGCAAAAACATCCTTCCAGCGCAACCAATAGCGCTGTAGCTTAAATATCGGTTCTTAATGACAGTAACTTATAGCAATCAATTAAGGATAACTTTTGCTGAATTCTGACCAGGTAAAGATTATTTTTGGTTAGTTGTCATGAGTCATTGTCTTTAACAGTTAGCATTCCTTATGGAAACTGGCCAGTGGTGCATTATTTTCTATGCACTGGTGTATGTATATTTGTATATATATGTTTATTCATGTCCAGATCGAAAAACAGTTTTGAATGTAAGTTGACCTGAATCCAAAATATATTTTACCAAAAAGGTTTACTGTTTTTATATTGTATATATGTAATTTATATATGTTTTGTACATGTTCCGTGATTGATACCTCAGGTTGTTTATATGACTTGTACATATATTTTTCAAGACAATGAAAAATATATTTAATTTTTTGTGGCTAAAACTGTGGAATAAAAATTAAAATGGAAAATAAATCAGTTCTTGTGTTCTTTGTGGTAGATTTGAATTTCAAGTTAAAAAAAAAAGAACTTGAGAATAGCTACAAATGGTATACTAAATAACACAAAAGGGGTTTTCAACATGGGGAAGAAGGTAATGAGAAAAAAACAACACGTAACTATGAGTCAGAGCAGCTTATATTGATTAATAAGGATCGGGATGCCTTGTTAACATCCAAAAACTTTCAGTCAATGACCTCTGTAGTTAATAAAGGTTATCTTTTTTTTTGTTTCTGGGAATCAGGACCAGAAAAGTGAAAAAGTGTCTTCAAAACAATTGCTACAATCAATGTAACTGGCCATTAATACAATCTCTGAGCACATTTGAACTATGTTTCTATGTAACTATGTTACAGCACTTGATACATGTTATACATTGTGATGTTACTTTACACTAAATATTTTGCTAAAAACAATGGTAGTTTCTTTTTATTATTTGGTAAAAGGAATGCCTTTCCCCACATCAAATCTGTTCGACATATACATTTTAAAAAGTCTGAACAGAAAACAATGAGTCAGCTGAACAATTTAATATAATTTTATATAGTCTGACATTTCTCACATTTCATCATTTTGTATTTTTTTGTGCGTTAAACACCAAAATATATTTATGTTTAGGAGAGAAAGCAAAAAAAATACAAAGTATCAAAAATACAAATATAATATAAGTTGTTAAAGGATATTTCTATAAATATTTTTTCTTTCTAGTCGTGCTCCTATGTGAGGCAAAGCCCCAATCAAGCCAACTGCATTTATGATTCACATTTTCATAAATGAATGTTGTAATTGCTGACTTATCTGCAGTAGCAATGACAGGCTCATAAAATGGCTTTTTTTTTTACTGCATTGTTGCATTTTCAAAAGATTCTTGGTTTGCAGCAGGTTCTTTACAATTTTCTTCAGGATATTTTATTTTTCATGATATCCTATTATATTATTATTATTATACATAATTTGGAACTTGTTTTTATTATTATTGAAGTTGACAAATATATTGTTGTTACTTTTAGATTATATAGGTTGACATTTTATTAGTATAAGCATTCACAGGATGCCATTTTTATTAAAGAGGAACTTCAGCCAGTTTAAAAAATTACACGGCAGCACCTACAAATACTGTAGCTGCTGACTTTTAAGAAACAGATACTTTCCAGTCCAGTTGTCGTCTCCACAGCCAATTCTCCACCAAACTTCAGCTTTCCAGTGCCACCATGGATTTGGGAATTCCTAATAAAGGAACTGGGAGTGGGTACCTGTCAAAAAAAAAAAAACCCTTTCCCCTCAAGAAAAAAAAAAAAAAAAAATGCAAATGTGTTGGAGCCTGGGGGGAAAAAGGGGATAAGCTGCCTTTCCTTTCCTGGTTGAAAAAGAGGATGAGCTTTCCTTCCTTTATTGGATGAAGATCTGCTTTAAAAAGTAACAAAAAATGTAACATTACCATAAGTAAATGCCATCACCCTTCCGATTCCACTTTTTTTTGCAATGTCCACAGCTGTAGGTCATGCACATTGGTGATTTTAATCATGCCATTAAAAAAGATGCACAATCATGCTGTTTCATGTGCAAATACACTGCTCAAAAAAATTAAAGGAACACTCTGAAAACACATCAGACCTCAAAGGGGGAAAAATATCATGATGAATATCTGTACTGATATGGGCTGGGAAATGTGTTAGGAACGCAAGTATGCCCCATCGTTTGATGGAAACGAAAATGATCAACCTACAGAGGACTGAATTCAAAGACACCCCAAAAATCAAAATGAAAAAATGATGCAACAGTCAAGTCCATTTTGCTGAAATGTCATTGCAGCAACTCAAAATGGTACTCAGTAGTTTGTATGGCCCCCATGTGCTTGTATGCATGCCTGACAACATCGGGACATGCTCCTAAGGAGACGACGGATGGTGTCCTGGGGTATTTGCTCCCAGATCTGGACCAGGACATCACTGAGCTCCTTTACAGTCTGAGGTGCAACCTAGCGTCGTCGAATGGACCAATACATAATATCCCAGAGGTGTTCTATTGGATTTAGGTCAGGCGAGCATGGGGGCCATTCAATGGTATCAATTCCTTCATCCTCCAGGAACTGCATGCATACTCTCGCCACATGAGACCGGGCATTGTCCTGCAACAGGATTTCATCCCAATACCTAATGGCAGTCAGGGTGCCTATGTCTATCCTGTAGAGGTCTGTGCATCCCTCCATGGATATCTCTCCCCAGGCCATCACTGACCCACCACCAAAACGGTCGTGCTGAATGATGTTACAGGCAGCATAACATTCTCCACGGCTTCTCCAGACCCTTTCAAGTCTGTCACATGTTCTCAGGGTTACCCTGCTCACATCTGTGAAAAGCACAGGGCACCAGTGGTGAACCTGCCAATTCTGGTGTTCAATAGCAAATGCCAATCGAGCTATATGGTGCCGGTAGTGAGCACAGGGCCCACTAGAGGACGTCGGGCTCTCAGGACCCCCTCATGAAGTCTGTTTCTGATTGTTTGCTCAGAGACATTCACACCAGTGGCCTGCTGGAGGTAATTTTTTAGGGCTCTGGCAGTGCTCATCCTGTTCCTTCTTGAACAAAAGAGCAGATACCGGTCCTGCTGATGGGTTAAGGACCTTCTATGGCCCTGTCCAGCTCTTCTAGAGTAACTGCTTGTCTCCTGGAATCTCCTCCATGT